CCTCACACCTGTCCAAACCAGCTGGGCGACGTCCCGGAGAAGTTCGTGGTCGAGAAGTGGTGAATGTAGGGAATTTGCAACCCTCCGCCAAATACCATCCATTTTCCAACAGCGAATCGACGTGCACGCTTGCATGCAATTCCACCGGGAGTGGTCACCACGGCTCCCTCCTGCGAGGTTAACTCCCACGACACACAGTAAAGCCTCGGCCTATGACATAGTGTAACGCCCGCAGAGTCAATGAAATAGGGCTGGAGTCCTACAGCGCGGCTCCATTGAAGCTACTGATTCCATCAGTAGATGCGTCCGCGCCCATGGGAAGTGCTTCTCCAACAGGGTCCGAATGCGCGGCACCTCCTGGAACAAGCTGCTACGGGCGTCCAACAAAGCCCCCTTCTTGCTAGCATTGAGACCACTTACGCCCTGACATGGAGGTCGATCAGCACCAAGCCAACAGAGGGGTAACGAAGGCTGAGAGAATGCACCAAAACCTCGTCCACGGTCTGAACGTCATCATGGAACACAGCATCAGGAAAGTAGGACTCCACTACGCTTCTTTCTCTACACTCAAATGCCCGGCTACAGGCACGCCCAAGGCATCAACTGCTAGACGGAGTGCACCTAGGCCATCGAAAAGCCCCACAGTTAAGACCTGGGTTGTCAAGATCTCCTCTCAGATGTCTCCTCTCACTTCGGCGTCCAAAGCTGCCATCCCATAGCCCGTGAGCCCTTCGCTCACACAGAAGCCACCCCCCGTGGTGGAGGCGTCACTACACGTGACATGGTCTGCAAGAGGTATCTTAAGGCTCATTTGCGCCAACGGACACTGCAAAATAAACCTCAACAGCTCCTTCGTGACTTGCTTTGGGAGTGGCATCCGAACCACCGGTGGCAGGCATTTCAGTCTTTCCATGAACCTCCAAACCTCATTGAGCGCACGCAACAAGAGACGACGGAACATGCAGAAATACACAAAGCCGCCACAGACCACCTGCAACTCCTTGAGGGTACACCGCTTCCGCTGGACAAGCGACAATCCCAAGGAGACATACAGAAGAACCTTTTTCGGGCGAGGCATTGCAAAGCCCAAGACCCCGTCCACAATGGCACCCTGTATCTCTGCCCTGAGGGCACGCTCAGTAGACTTCTTGGGATGGCGAGGTAGGCCTAGACGCGAGAATACTCATCCCTCAATGATTGCACCACCTCCGCAACCGTACCTTTGATTAGTTCAGCCTGGCTATGACGTTCCAACAAGTCAAAGTTGTCCAAATAGACGCGAAACAGAGACGACGACGAAGAGCCTACCCGGTCACGCCGCATTTCAGTTTCACCACCGAGACCATGCGCAGCTGACTGTTGGCTCCATTTCACCACGTTCCTGTGGATGTGTTGCGCAATAGATACACTATTCACAAAGCGCATGGGGAGGACTTTGGAGACAAGTACACAACGTTTTCCCTTCCACTGCGGCGGGATCAGACCGTCCTCCACGTCCTTGTTGAACCCTAAAAACCTTCTCCATTCAACCGGCACCTGGAACAGATAAAAGAAACATCTAATATCTTCAGCACTCATCACTGCCACTTCCCCTTCATCCAATAGAAAGCTATGAAATGATGAGATCGACGGGAGAGTGCTCACTTCTCCCACCAGGGGTTCACATACCCGGTTGAAAGGTACTAGATTCATGATGAGTCTTTGGGTTTCGAGGGGTCCGACAAATTCGCCCTTGCCAACCGCAAACAACCCATTCAGCAAGGGCTCCTGGCCGATGTGGTACAAGTTCTCCACGGGCCAGACTTCGCAGACGCCGCGCTCCACCAGGCCTCTGCTGAGATCGAAATGTCAAACCTCTCGCGCAGCTGGCTCAGATTTTCCGTCAATCCCTCAGGGTAACGGGAGGGCATAGGTCCATGCCCGCGACCAATGGCCAAATGAGGCCAAAGATCATGTGCCCACACGCTTCACCAGGCTCTCCATTGCGGCAAGGGGGCAATGGTAGGGGAAAAATACACTCATTTGGTAAAACAACATCCTCCATTGCCGTGGTCTGCGTGCGCACTTCATCGAGTTCTTCAAGAAGTACCCGTGCCGCTTTCATAGCCTGGGCCATAGTGCTTGGTGAAACTTTGCTGCTAACGGCCTCTGACTCACGTCCATGATCGGGAGAGCCCAGGACGGCCTGTCTCCCACCTTCCGTAGTTTGAGGCTCAGGAACCCCTGAATCTTCAGCCACTCGGGCAGAGCTCCTAGCAGCTTCAATGCGAGTGTACTTCGACACATCCTCTTTCTGTACTTTGCTGCAACCTCTCTTCCTGCACAGGTCGGCCTCTACAGTCCTCAAAAGCCTTCTCTATGGCACCCTCTACTTGTCCTTCTCCTCCTCGCGTTTCCATTTTCCTTTTCCTTTGTCCCTGTCGCTTTTGCCCTTGCCGTCTGCCTTTCCTTTGTCTCTCTTTCCCTTGTCCTTGTCTTTTCCTTTGCCACCTCTGGGCCAGTCTCTGTCGCTCTGCCACTCCCACGTGCGGCCACGGGAGTTTCGATACTGGATGCGCTCCTCTTGCAAAACTTCTTTGCCTGCTTCTGAAGCTTCGTGGGTCGTCACTAGGGACACCTTCTCTGGCCCCACTAGTTCCAGTCTTCGGGCTATGTCTGATTGAACTCCTTTCGCTATCTGCTCCAAAGACTTTATCCTCTGGGAGTCCACGTCCAGCGCGGCGGCTGGACGACCGCGCAACATGAGGTCGACCACGAGGCACCAATGTTGCATTTCTCGACCCATGACGGGTCCAACCTGGCTTTGTATAGGTGCTGCCTGTAGTACTGACTGGCCACCGGCGCTATGCTCCCTTCGCTGCCTGCGGTCAGGAAGCCTTCGGCCGTCATCAAACTCTGCCTCATATCCTGTAGCGCCCCACATGTCAAAGCTCCTGGAATTCTCTTCCAAATTTGAAGGGCTCGCCGTTCGGCCTCGAATAATTCGCTCGAGCCGATGACTTCTTCGCCCAAACTCGAGGTGGTGGTCGAGCTGTCGCTGGCTTGATCTTCCTTCTCTCGGCTGCGTGATCGACTCCCCTTCTTTTTCTTCTTTCCACGCCTGATCTTTCGAGCCTTCCTCATCAAAGCCCTTCTCACTCCTGGATCGGGGTCTACACCCGTGCGAGCGAAGATGTCCTTCAGTGGCACCTCCAAGCACGGCTTCACCTTTTCCTTCTCCTTCTTCTTTACCTTCTTCTTTGCCTTCACCTTCTCCTTGTCTCCCTCGGTCACGGGAGCAGCGTGTCCTTCGGGGGAGTAGTCGTCCATGTTGAAATCTTCCACCGCCTTCTTCATCTCTTTTCTCAACTTGGCCAACTGATCTCCTGCTTCGTGCTCGTCCTCTTTGTCGAGACCTCGACCTCGAGCATCTTCGAGGTTTGTCCACCAGCATTCTGCAGCCTCTGCTTTGGACCGTCAGGCGCTCGCCATGAATCAGGTTGTTGCTCCATACCTGACTCTCGCATGGCCGTCCACACAGGTGAACCTCCATCTCTTTGCAACGTCCTCCAACTGCCTTGAGGACGCTCTCCGTCTCACTGAGTGCCTGTCACCCAGACCCTCAACCTGCGATCGCCTCCTCGGAAGTCACCACTCCGGCAACCATACATGGGGCTTCCCAATACTTGCCTTCGATGATCAGCTTGTCAAGTCTCCCAATCTCCTCCAGGCTGAGCTCCCGGATGGACCTCCACATCCCTCCAGGCTCGTCTTCCACTGTCTCTTCCAATCTCGACGCCGGCCTCCTCAACACCTCTTCTCCTCCTCGTGGATGCCGGGCGGGGACGGCTACTCCCCCCCCTGGTCTCCTGAGAACCTTTGGCGCCATCACCTTCTACCGTGCTCCTGGTCGTACTCGTTCCAAAGCCTGTAGTTGAGATTCTTCTCGCGTTTGGTCCTTCCTTTGGACTCCGTCTGCTGATGACCACTGTTCCGAACAGGCCAATACCGGTACCCCTTGGTTTGGGAACGCCTGGTGGTTGGCAACTCCTTGTCTCTCTCCTTTCTCTCCCCCCTGAGTCTACGCGGGAGGCTGTCCAATAGGGAGGAGGTGCCGCTCGACGGGCAGCTGGACCGAAGCGCGATGGTCTTGGCGGGGACTTGGGAGGCGGTGTACGAGATTGATCTGATGAAGCAACTTCGCTGAAAGCTCTCGTTCAAGAACTGGCTCAGGTGACCGAGGTTGCTTTGGGCTTCCTTTCTTTTCGACGTGACTACGGGAGCGACGGGATCTCCCACGGCTCACGCTCCTGTCTTTCCTCGATGATTTCTTCTCCTCTGACCTGCGACGGCGGCGACGGGATCTGGAACGCTTCTTCTTCTCAACCGGGAGGCTTGTTGTGGGGACATGCTTTCGAATCTCCCTCTTTTCGTCCACTGGGTGCTGAAGTGGCTCCTTCTTCCTCGCTCTGTTCTTTCTCCTCCGATGACTGCTCTGTCTTTTCTTTTACCTTAGCGGGAGTGGCAGGTCCCTCTGAGGTTTTCTCCCTCTTGAACGCTGGTGTTGAGTAAGTGGCAGCCCCAACACCTCCTGCAGAATGTCCTTCGGCCTGGTCCAAGAGCTCCAAGTAGACCTCCCGGAATTTCCTCACACAAACACGTGAGAAATCAGCTCCCAGCTTCTCGTTGTAGGCCAACAGGAGAAGCCGCTGTGAAATCAGGCACAACATCAGCTGAAGCCGAGAATCTGCGGAAAGTAAAAGCGCTTATCGTCTTTAAACACGAAAACGCAAGTCATGGAGGTATGTGCCCACACTTGCAAATGGGTAACGCGCAAAACTGGTGGAAGTGATCATTATGGATCAGTATCAAAAGCCTTTGATGGACACTGGCACAAATGGGCAACAAGATAAGGGTATCAAAACCTCAAAGGCCTTTCGCTGATTGCTTATGCGTTTATAAATGTAACGCATGCAAAACAACATACACAAATGATGCTTGGACACGTCGCGAGAGACCGGACCTTGTTGACAGTCCTGTGCTTCGTCCTTTCCCACTTCTGGCTGGCGGCAGGGCTCGCGCACCTGATAGCTTGAGGATGCTTCAGGATGCTTCAGGCCTATCCTAGCAGGACGCTTCAGATTTCATGGCCTTGCAGGCGGCGTCGTGCAACTCCTTTTGACATTCTTCATCATTTTGCCTTTCAAGTAATGACTGAAAACAGAAGGTCTGCAAAAAAACACCGAACGCCTTGAACCTCGGAAGGTCGCATGCAGAATTGGAGACCCCACACGTGGCCAAACCATTCCTCACAAAAAGTCGAAACCAAAGATGTGGCTGGCCGCCGGCCTTTCTAATTTTCTAGCGCTTCTTTGATATTCTTTCTTCCAAAAGTGCAGTTTCTGGCGGAAGAACCCTCCCAACGAAGTATGCGATGTGAAGGTGAGGCCAAAACTTGCACGATGCTTTGTTCTTGTACACTGTCCATCAGCTGACTCGCTCCTGGATGTGGCTTTTGATCGAATCAAAGGTTGCGATTTTGTGGCTTTTGTGTCCAGCTAAAACAACCAAACCTCCATGAAGCATCGAAGCCCGATGGCATGTCTGTCGGTTGGCCCTCGAGAGCAAGTTTCAGTTTCCATTCCAACGCAAACTTGATCAAACATTCAACTCTCCACAAACCTGACAGGCAGCGCGCAGACTTCTTTCCCACCTCACCGATATGGCAACCAACAAGTTGAAATTTGTGGCAACACAACACGGGCCCTGACATATTGCACATGACTGGAGAGTGTAAGCGCAGCGCTGGATTCGAAGTACCGAAACATGATCCAACCTGCAAATGCACTGCGATGGCCTTGTCATGGTTTCTCATCATGTTCCTCAAAGAAGTGGCTAGTGGTTTAAGCCGGGGACAAACATTTGATGTGCTCTTCCTTGTCAACGCCCAAGCCCAGCAGGCCCTGACGCGTCAAATGAACCAGCTGCACGCCATCTATACCAGCCTCCAATGGAAACACAAGCAACACAAGCAACACCAACCATGTTCGAACATTGATGCCAAATTCAGTTGAACACATTCAGCTGCCTGCAAGAATTCTTCACCATATGGCAATAGCAAACATTGCTCCAACCATGAGGCCACGTCTTCGACCGTCCACTGGACAACCGTTGCCATCCTGAAGGTGGCGCGCGCATGGACAAGCCTCGTTTATGCTTGCGCACGCTCGGGATAACGTATGTACGGTCTGAATACCACTTGGTCTGAAAACTCCCGACTGAAAACTTGCCTAACTTGACAAGGTCAACATGACATGTACAGGATTTGCTGTTGATTCTCAACCGCCAAAATTCCTGAACTTTCCAGGAGTTCATTGACTCTATGGTCTGGAGAGATTTTGATGGCCTACCCAAACATCAAGCGACAGCAAAACCGCTGCTTCAATTGCTCGCTTGTTGAACCACGGCTCTATCAGGTCACAGGGAAACGCTTGGGTTTGTTTAGCGTATTCAACAATCAAGCGTCAACAGAACCACTACTGTAGTTGAGTTGCGTGCTTGTGGAGCCAGTCGACGGGGTCTCTGCCAAGAACCCATGGCTCTGACAGATAGATGAAAGCAAAGGAAAGCAGAATGAATACAAATGAAAGCAACGTGAACGCAAATGAAAGCAGAATGAAAGCAAGAGAAAGCGGAATGAAAGTTACTCCCTTCTCAATATTGGCGTTGTTGACGATTGTAGCCTCATACAACTTGGTGGTGCAAATGGTGCAGCAGCAACTTCACCTTGCATCTTCTGCGCCGCCAACTACCCAAAGTTAGCCTCTGCAAAAAAGACATAAACCCCACCAGGCTACAAGTATGATGAAAGCCGCCACATTGGCCCGCTCTTCCCCCACACCCCCTATTACTCACTTCCTTCGCAGGAACAGCTTCAGCTTAGCCTGCCGGCGGGTTTTCATAATTTCACTATCTACAGGGTTCAACTATCGAATCCTCCAAGTAGGTCAAAGGGAAAACAACGTTCACAGCCCCCAAGTCCTATCACGATGGAAAGGTCTTCGTTGGGCGATGCCTTCCAAAGTGTCCATTGCCTCCGAGAAGCAAAACAAAAACCCACAGGCCCCCTATGATTCCAAGGCGACAGGAAAGGAAAACAGAAGAATGAAGGAGGAGGGAGGCGGAAGGCGGAGTGGTCAACTGACAGGTTCTCCCTCGTCTTTTCTGCCTCGATTTGGGCAACGCAATGAAAGGAGAGAGAAAAGAAAAGGGACGAGATTCCCCGGGTTGGGGGCGTTCAATCACAGACACACGCACAAACGAGAAATGAAAAGACTCAAAGGCGCCCGATGCCGGCGAACGCAATAGAGGGGACACCAAGTGACCAGGGACAAACAAATGAGCCAAGCCCCATTACGGAAACCTGGTAGGTAGATGTGCGTGCGCATTAAGGTCCCAACAGATTGTGCGCAATAGACGAAAAGGATGAAGCGTCATGAAGACGGAGGGGCGTGAAAGCAAAGCGGGAAAGGTACGTGGTTGCGAATGACAGGGAAACCAAACAGAAGGGCGCAAGACAAAAGACCAAACCTCAGTATAAGAGGCAGTGCCTAGTTTGGTATGTTTGTGTGAACACGGACTATTAATTTGAGGCCCTCGCGGAGATCGCATGATGTCGTGTTCAAAGCTGCGGACGCTCCGGCCTGCGCTGCCTTGGTAAACGCTGGCCACTTCTGTCCGCTACGGGCTCCTGCTGGCTCAGAGGCCTGCTCCAGTCAAAACCAAGTCGTCAAGTCTTATCATTCACGTTCGCCATCGAGGGCTCCTGCTGTCCGCACGGACTGTTGCTTGCTCGCAACGATCACCCCCAGCTCGGCTGGGCCACGGAGGGCTCTCAAGGATGGAGAGACACGCTCGGGATAAAGTTCGACCGGCCCTGAAGATTCCTAAGTAAAAACTTGCCTAAGCGAAGTAAATCGAAGTACCATGCGTCGTGCGTCAGGGTTCAGCTATCAAATCCTCCAAGTCAAAAAGTAAAGGAAGCTCGAAGCTCAAAGTTCCAAGCGCAAAGCCAATGCGCGACTGCGGAATGGCCGGTCACTTGTCCTAGCTACCGCGGGGCCAAATTGAGAGTTAAAGTCATACTCAGCAAGTACGCGACTTTGGCGCCCCAAGTCCTATGACGACACCTTGGAAAATGTTTTCGTTGGGCGATGCCTTCCAAAGTGTCTATTGCCCCCTGGAAAAGTAAACAGATGTCGACAGGCTCCCAATGATTTTTGAGGGCTACACACACACACACGCTCCAAAAAGGACGCGTGATCGCCATCTACCTTGTTGAACAAGTGCAGCCAAGTCACCGGCAAAGACCAAAAAGTCAGTCTCAGTTCTGAGAATGCGACTCTCCTATGGTTTTGAAGAGTGGGTTCTTTTCTTTTATGGCATGCAGGGGCGTTTTGCTAACATGTGCATGAATATGTAATGTATATGTGTCGCATAGTGTGGCTTTGTTGGCCAAAAAGAACTAAAACCTCAAGCGACTAAACTGAGTTGGAAAAGCTGCCACGATGCACAGCAAAGCACTGTCATTGGCTTGTCCAAGGACTAGACACCCGTTTCATCGATCATTGCGCAAAAGTAGACTAAGGACAACCTTTCCCACTAGAAGGCTCGATCCTTTTCGCTTCTCAAACTGCCGTTCGTGGTTGGTCTGGGTCGGCAAATACACCAAAGCCGACTTGCGGCTTGACCACCTGCCCATCTGAAGTTGAAAAGCCGAACGCAAAAACGCACTTGATAGACATTCTTGCCTGGCCGCTCCAGGGATCCCGAGTTCCCTGCAAAACCACATCTCTCATCCTAAAAACTCCTTAAAACTTTTTTCGCAATTCAACATTCTTCGCGACACCCGACCTGGTCTAACTTGGAGCCCTTGTCAGACTGTGGCACAAGCACTTTGTCTATCAGGCCATACCTCGGCGCAACAATGCAACAAACAAAGCAAGTGAGAATGCAAGAGGAACAAGCGAGATGCTCAGCGTGTGCTCTTGAGCAGCAACACTACAACGGGCGATCGATATCGAAACAGGAATCCGCATTGTTTCCTAGCGTAGCTGGGCAACAAACTTGGCGGCTTCTTCGGCGGAAAGGTAGAAGTTTCGCTGCAAGTCCTGGACGTTAAATGTTGCATGTCACGACGAAGGCACCATGTAACCTAAAGACTAACAAATCCCGTTGTCACACATTGCAACGCGACTTGCATATGTAGAACGAGCAGCAGGCATGGCTCTAACCTTCAACGGGGTGTAGACAGGCCCGTGCGGGGTCAAGCGTCAATTACCCAAAAGAGAGCAATGACTGAAGACGCACAAAAGATACATAGACTAGAGTGTCAAGCGATGAAAGATACAGAACGCAGAGGTATGGAGTGTAGTGTAGAAGGTTTCGTGATGAGCTGTGTGTTGGGGCTTGCGAGCACAGAGCCGGAGGAAAGCTGAGGCAAACGAACGAATGGAATAGGGTAGCGCACTGTAGGATACAATCAAATGTGGGTGGTGCAAAGCAACCCAATGGGATCAGAACTGAAGAAAAGAAGGACAAGTAAAGCGCATATTCTGATGTGGTTTGCGTTTCTTGACTCTATCCTGTTTTGCTTGGCCCCGCAGCCAGCGTCATAGCGGTCCCTGCGTTCTCGAACATTTTTCGGCATCGGAGCCAGTCTTGCTTTGGGTGAATTCTTCAAAATGGCAATATCAGGTCTGTACTGGACCTGTGAACGAACACTTGTGACGCATTGCCTGTGGACACCTGCTGTGGATTGGGGTGTAGGGCGCCCCTTCATTGCTGTCTGTAAGGTGAGACCGGTGCCACCAATGAAGCGCCACTGAGTTCACAGGTTGCGCTCACCAATGCCACAGCTTCAATATCCTCTAGGATCTGGCGCGCTTTTGGCATGTTAGGGCCCGTCCCGTGCCCCATTCTTGCACGTCTTAGGACTGACATGGCCTGCGGTGGGTGGTTGCCAAATTAACCCTTCGTCGATTGAAGCCCCTTGTCGCAGGACTCTCCAGGGGCCGCAGCCATCGATGTTGTAGGCAAAAACAGAGCCGCTTGCCTTCTGGGTTTGCTGATGCGCAATTCTTCGATGCATGGGGCAATTTTCCTGTCCAGCCTTTGCCGCTGCTTTTCTTCCACTGAGATTGTTCTGGCTCCTCCAAATGACTTCCACTGGACTTGTCTTGTGTCCACGCGCTGCTGCTTCGGCGGCGTTGTCTTTGGTGGCTAGGGTGTCGCCTTCTCCTGCGCAGTTGGCATGTGGTAGTACACAACTATATGACTATGGTCCTTCGAGATCACTCAACAATGCATGAAATGGTCGAGCGCCGTCTGCCCGCGGCTTGACATCAGCTCTTGCGTCCTCGCGAAGGCCTGACAATCCGCTCGGAGTAGCTGTGTGATCGTTGGAGCTTTGAAGCCCGGGCAGCAGCGGTTGCCTCATCAATCTGAACATGTAGTTCACCCACTTCGGAAGGGTTGGGAAGTCGACAGTCGGCCAATCCTGTTGCGTCAAATTGCGAAACTCCTTCTGGTCTCGCTTCAAGGAGATCAAGCTCTGTTGTGGTCGAGCGTTAGCGCTTGCTGCCCGAATCCTTCACCGTCACGCCGGTCCCGTTGGAGACCAACATCATCATCACAGATCGTTGTCATTGTGGTATGATAGGCGCTCTCGATAATCTGCGCGCGATGTCCAACTTCAGCTCTTTGGGTGGCTTGGTCGCAGCGACCTGCTCTATCCTGCTAATTCACTTTGGGGATAGATACTTCAGTGCCCGCCCATTCAACCACATCGTAGACTTGATGTGCCACCTCCATGCCTCCTTCCAGCGCCAGGCCACTCAATGACAATCGCTTTCGCTGCGCCCTATTTTGCGCGAGCTGGGGTCTGCGTTTGGGTCGGTTAAGATGCGCCAAGGCGTCTGTGCTTCAAAAGCAGACGACGCACTGTCGCCAAATCTCCCACTGTGAATTGCACGCCCTGAAGGCACGGTGTTTTGCGTCAAAGTCCCCACATCATCTTCCGTGACTGGACTGAGCCTGGTTGTCGAGACAACAGCCGCCTTCAATCCTCGAGCCCACTCTGGTCCTAGCGCAAGGTTGGCCGTCGAAGGCTGCCTCACTCTCCGTGAAGTTCGTGGCCGCCGCCGCCATTACCATTACGCCCAGTGGAGGTTGAAAGCTAGAAGCTGTAAACGCATATATGCGCCAAATGCCAAACGTGAATTTGGTGTCAAATCATGAAGGCGCATGAATCGCACGCTGAGCCCTCTAGGTGCGGTTCACGCATAGGTTCTTGCCCGCATTGCGTGGCCCTCGTGGCAACAAAACAAGACACTAAGACCACTAATGGTATCGCCCACTGAAGGACTTCCTATATCACATCTGTGTCTTCGCGCTCTGGAAACCTTGGCTCGAAGAGCGCCACTTGCTTCTTGGCCATCCAACCCGAACATGTTCCATCGGGCACGAAGTCTCCAAGCCTGATGTTGAGGATCATCCCACATAGTTCTCTCATTGGCTGGCTCAGCAGGTCCCTATAATATAGAGCGACGTCCATAGCGAGCTGCCCACACCAATAACACAGTGTTGCCTTCAATGAATGAGACGTTGTCGTCGCCTTGAGTCTCCTGACTTACACCCCTCTGACGAACTCAAAGGTCTTTTGGTGAAGCGTCCCCCGTCCAATGTGAGGGCCCAGCAAATCCTGCAAATAGACCTATGACCCATGTGGCTTACCCATGTAAAGCAGCCCCAACTCTGCCAGGACCTTCATCCACTTCAAGCCTCAGCGACCTTCTAAGACACCATGAATGGGTGCAACATGAGGCATGTGCATTGCCTTTCGCTCTGCGGTAGTCGAGGTTTTGTGGATCCTTGTTCTCGCCTCGACAAACCCGAACGGCCGTCGTCTGTTTCAATGACGTCAAAGTAAAACTAGTGGATGTTGTCCATGTCACTCCATCTGGAGTAGAGAGCATAGAGAGCGCACCCAATGAAATACTTGTCCAGCTAGTTCTATCAAGCTTCAACACCTCAGCATCAGTCAGAGGACGCGCTTGCTCCGCTGGATCATGTGTAGCCAACACTCGACTCACTCTTCCTTTCAGCGTAGGCCCAAGTATGGCCTCAAAGAATGGACCAAATTCTTTCCAATGAGTTTGCTCTTGTTCTCATCTTCTCTTTCAATCAGTCAAAGGTAGCAGCTTCTTTCAATGGCCACCAGCGCATGAACTTCTTCTCTGACCATTTGACAAACAGCATCAGCATCAAATCTCGACCTCTTTCGAGGACTGTCGATGGGGAACTAGTCCCGCAAGCACCTCGAATGCACAGCAACGCGCCACACTTGAAGCTCTTCTATGACACACTTTGTGGCGGAGGTCTCAAAGCTGCAGACTTCCATGATTATGAGCCAGGTTGCCAATGCCTTTGTCCACTTCAAACCCTCGGCCTCAGCAAAATCTCTACGGCAAAGCGCCTTCATGTGCTTGGCGTGCATTGGTGCCTCTGTATAGGGTCAGCACGTGTCATTCCAGCTACGTCCACTTGCAATGTGTCTGCTGGCTCTGCCTTGCGCATGAATTCACATGGCATGGCAACCAATGGTTCAAACCCTGGCATCTCGATGCTCTTGGCTTTCCCGAAGATCTCTTTGTAAACGCATTGTTCCCGGGGTAGTTTGGTCACGCCAGCTCCAATTGAGCTCAAACTTTGCTCCAAGGTTGCTTGTTCATAGTGTTTGCGCAAAGGTCGCCAGATCTTCGCGCTCTTCTTGGACAGCTTCTCCATGGGCTTCATTTGCGATGCTTAGCGCGACCCTCACCTGCAGGCTCTTCATCGTGCGCCTGGCTTACATCTCTTTCTTGCTCTTTTTGAGGAGCTTGTGCTGGAGCAGGAGGATCACCATCGATCTCAACGACACCATCTATATAACTCCGCCAAGTTGACCACATGACCAAGATCCACCATGGCTCACCCTCCTGCGCCAAGAAACCACGAGCGCAAACCAAAGAAGGTTCCCACCCACCACTCCCTTAAGCACAACGGAAAGTTATTGCACAATGTTTCTACAGCAACAAATCCAAAAGAACAAGCAAGGTTCGAATAGGATCAAGTTTGTTACAGTTCCAAGACAACTTGTCACAAATACATTTCGTTAACATAAGTTCTTTGTCAACTACGTCGACTGCATTCAAAAGTTGAGACCTACTTTGCTATTTCTTCGTTGCTTTGTTTGCTCTCTCTCTGCCTGACCTTTGCAAATCTCAGCTTGGTATGTGTTATGTTCCTGTCCCACTCAACTCGCCCCATTCCTCACTGGCCTACCGCTAACAACAGCATGAACCAGTTTTCTCAGGGGTGTACACTGGCGTGTGACTGGATACTGCGAGTGTACACCCCAAACCCCTCTGCAACAACACTGGTCACTGGTCCTGATCTTTTGCATGTAAAGGTTGACCATCTACGCTTACATTGATCAACACATGCCTAGATTGGGTGGAAAGGGAGGGGCTGGAGGCCCTCTTGCATCCACCACCGACCACCCTTGAATGCAAGCGTGATGGCTATGTTCGACTGGCCCAAGCACCTGGGATTGATGTGGCAGCAATCAGGCAGGTGTTGCCCTGTCTAATGATTGATGCAGCTAAAAATGGATGAGAGGAGGAGCAGGGTCTGTTGCTAGCGTGGCCAAGAGCATGAATGCAGGAGAGGAAACGAAAGAAGGGAAGAACGTCGCAGAATCTCCTGAGAGTAGTAAGGTACAGCGTAGCGTAGTGGAGGGTAGGCCAACAGGGAGCAAATTTGGGCTGGGGTGGATGTGCTACAGTGTTCGCGACTCTGCTGAGCTACACTTGTTTTGGAGAATAAAAGAAATGAGGCCAACCCAATCAGCGTAGCCTAGCTATGGGCAAAAAGGAAAATATCTAATTTGATAGTCTCAGGTCTGTATAGGGAAAGTGTCAAAGACAAACTGCCATTAAGTTTGAATAACGATATTTGCTTGCGGTAGTACAAAAACCTGTATCAAGCATAGAATTTCTAGTGCAACAAAGCCCGGCCGCTTTTGCGTGCAGAACTAGATGGGCTATGGGCGTGGTGGGGGGCACCTTATACTCCTCTTGCCGTGGGCTTGGACACTTGCTTGTCACACAAGGTGATATCGGATGAAACCCCAGAAGGACCTTCATGAAGCCATGCCAAGCTCAACAGAACAGGAGGGTTGTAGCCTGAGGAAGAGAAATCCCCAGACACGATCCTCCTGTCTCAGTCGTATACAGCCACTGCGGTTTTGCCCTCTCTACACGACAGGATTTGCCATGGGGAAGATCAGCGCAAAAGCCCGTAGTCGCGGTGGAGGCAGCTTTTTGGGGAGTGCATATATGGATAGATTCCTCACTTTCTTCCATCTCCTGCCCCGAACCAAACTTCAAATTGGTCAAACCTTCAAGTTTGTCAATTCTTCGAGAAGCACATCCCCAGATCTCTTCACGCAGATGACAAACCGGGTGCCATATGGTGCCATTATTGAACCTGGCTGGTGGTTTCAACTCCCTTAAGCAAGTATTTGTCAGTGGGATCAATCACCTCAAGTATATAAAGGTTGAACATAAACATCTCTGAAACCCACCACCCCGTAAGTCTTGGATTTGCTTTCCAGGAAGCCAAGGAAAATAGAAGCATATTCCCCACGCAAGGGGATTGCAATCTTTTTTCACTGCTTCACCTTATTGTCAAGGGTTGGCGGCACCTGGGCGTTAGTCCATTCTGAGGCCCATTTTATATAGATGGCGTTGAAACAAAACGCGCGCCGCTTTACTGACGTGCGGCAAACAAAGCCCAAGCCTTCCGGATCTTCTCGATTGCTTGGCCAGTGATGCTTGAAAGCTCTTCTTCTACCCCTTGTCAAACATGCAGTGTCTTGCTGATGAAAATTGGCAAACAAAAATCGACAAATCAGAGCCAAACTGTTGCTCTCTCGAAGCATCTGTCGAGCCTGTCATAAGGATTCATCTTTCAATTTTGAAAGGATGCTCATGGATGCTTGAAGGCCTCCAACTCTATCTCTGTGGCTTGCCCTTGCACTGGGCTTTCGAGTCCTGCACAGTGTGCAACACACCTTGGAAGAGTTGCAACTCAAATCTTGCTCTAAGGTTTCTTTCATTTTCTTTCAATCGGCAATTCTACACATGATGTCATGCGCGCACATACACACAAAAACAAAACGAACCATACTTGCCATGATATAAAAGCACGGCAAACTGGCATCCTCCGGCGCACAACGCCAATCCTGTCTTAGAAAGGAGGAACAATGAGTTGGGCGTTGCAAAGCGCCGGCCCGGCCTAGGACAAATATGAACCAATCATGCAAAATGCGCTGGTATCATGGAATTGCAAAGCCGATGCAAAAACAGAAGAAACAAATTGAATGATGTGCTGTCTGTCTTCTCCACATCCTTATACAACCACATTAATTACAGTACTGGTTTTTGCACCACACTGTCCCTCCCTCCGCAAACTCGACCAAGCACGAAGTTTTCAATAGTCTGTATGGCTGTATGCGGCTATATGATCTATATGTAGATGTAGTGGTGTTCACCGTCATGAAGGCATCCACCGATCCACTCAGTGGGAAGATGGACGCACCAGCGCCTGCGCACTTTTCCTTGATGGCGGCGGCCAGGCCCGAAATGCCAGATAAAACTCAGGAGGCTTCGATGGTCCCGTTGCTCGCTCCCTCCCCTCCCTCCCCCTCCCTCCCTCTCTCCCTCTGTCCTTCCCCCTCGCTTCCTCCCTACCGCTACGCAAAGCAGCTCACAAAGCTTGCTTGTGAAATGGACACCAATTGCGCTTTGTAATAAATAGGTGACGTATCAACAGGTTCCTAATGACCGTCACAAGTATTCGGCCATCACACTGATCGTCCATTCCTAAGGCCCAAGCGATCCAGCAGCAACTAAAAAAGCACCCATGCCGGCGCACAGGGAATAGCTCACAGTAGTCACCTTGAAGCCAACCCTCAAGATGAGCAAGTCTACACAATAGTTTGCATGGACACTTTCTGCCCGCGCAGCTCGGAACCATTCCATGTTATTAGCCCTCAAAAAACAACATATAATCGATACTAAATCGATCTAAATCGTGCCAGTGTCTCCACCGTGCCGTCATGCCTGCGGTCTCCTCACTGTTTATCGTTACACTCTTGTGCCTGCGCGTGATCAAGCGGGTCATGCTATGAATGTCTCACGAGCGGGTCATGCTGACTATCTGCTGGCAGTAGTGTCTGCGCGGCGTCCTGCTTGTGAGCCGATCAATATCAAGTGCAAACGTTGCTAGGCAAAGCAGGCGCTGGGGAAAGATGCGTGGCAGGAGAGAATGGAAGCTCTTTCCATTGTTTTGGTGTGGAAGCCATTGGGAAATCTTGCGCGGTTCCAAGTCCCTGTGGTCTTCAACTCAAAGGGCTGCAGTTCGTGTCCTCCCGCTCCCTTACTGCATTCTTGGTGCCATGTGCAATATGGTGGAACACAGCGGTTTTCCGGCCCAAGGCAACTCCCTCATGAGCTGGCAGGGGGAGTGCCGACGTGTCATTCCTTTCATTTTCATTTGAGGCCTTCAGCATCCTTGAACATAAAGGCATGATCGAACGCTTGGCTCAAGAACACAAAAGACCGAAGCGATTTGGTCACATAGTTTCAATGAGTGTTGTTCAGCTGTTTGGCGGAGCATACCACTATCCACACGCTTTGGTCTTCCCCAACGCTGGATGGGCTATTAGAACTCATCGCCTGGACATGTCAATTGTCCCCAATCTTTGCTTTGCCCATCGATGAATCTATTAACTAGGAAAAGAGCAGCTACTTGTAGCACCGCAATCGCCCAAACTTCATGGCAAATCCGACAGCCTTGCAACCCTTGGCTTTCAGCTGACAAATTGTATCATAAAGAGCCAATGCCTCAGTGCATCAGTGTTTTCATACCCGCACTCAGTGTGTTTTAAGTCAAGGCTTGAGCAGGTTTCAGGGCAGCTCCAGGGCTGGAGAAGTAAATTTGAACCTGAGCCACAGAATTCACTGATACTTTGAAGCAACAATGGTCTTGTAAGTCATAGGCTGGCTTTTTTGCATCTTCTGACTGCAAATATAAAAGCATCGCCAAATAAGCATTCGCCATGTTGTCATCAATATACCTGGTACATGTCAGACGGGACGCATTCTGATCCAGAAAGAAAAACACCTGTCTTTACAGTGTATACCGTATACCGAAACAAAGAAGAACTATAGTGACTAGATCTGAACATGTTCTAAGAATCTCGAAAACGTGGGCACTCCGATATCATGAGGATGCGCTCACGCAGCAGTAATTCTCGAACCGACAGCCACTGGAAGCGCTGTGTATTTGGAATCCTGGCAAGAAGCGCGTAAGATCCAGCTACAGTTTCCCGGTATACCCCACTCCAAAGTGCTGCAACTGAAGAACTCTGAGTCATCAGTGTACTGTACTGTTCGTGGGCACCCCTCGAGTCTGGAATGTGTGGATACAGTCACGTGTTTGGAGCAGGCGCGTGGGTGATTGTAGCTGCGGTAGTTGGCCCACGGCTGATAGACGGCCGTGGTGTTTTCATGCATTTTTATTGACTTTTCGTTTTCTACGCTGTCGTTTTTGCATGTTTGCTTGAGGGGGATGTGGATGCTACGTGTGGGAATGGGTGAGGTGGGGTGGGGGGGGGCATGTTAACGTTCGGTTGCACTTGCTGCATGAAGTTGATGCTGCGTTCAGTTGCTGCGCCAAAGCTTGACCTATGCCACACCGGCTCAGTTCTTGCGCCGCTTGGAGGAGCTCTTGTGAAGACTGAAAAAGTCGCAACTTTTTCCGGCGGCCCAATTAGTTACGTAGTTTCGAACATGCTTCGAAATCAGCATTTCGCCTCAGCGAAACTCTCATTTCAGGCAAATCTGCTTGGAATTGACCGTGATTCCACTGATGAAACGTTGGGCACATCATTCCCAATGATCCTAATGGAATTACGCACATTTCGACATGATTAACCCACGACCATAATCGATTTACACCACGGCCGTCTATCAGCCGTGTACCTAGTTATTGGAGTTGACCTTGCCTTCGCTATGTTATTCTTTCCAAAAAAGGGGGGACCCGTTTGAGACCAATCTATTGCAGAAGGTTTGACCTCATCCAAAGTCATACTATACCGCTTAGGCTATTTATAGTTGAAAGAAGGGAAGTTCAGAAGGTCCAATGGACAACAGGCATAGACAACAAGTAAGAAAATAACAAACAGAAAAGCAACTCAACTTCGTCTGTTCGTCTCTTGTGACTTACTCCCCACACTTGCCTCCAAGGCATGAGAGCTTCAGCTTGACGAGCACACGAAGTTCTCTGCCTGGCGACCAGCACACAGAATACGCCGCCGGGACCATCTCATGCGACAAACAATGTTTTGGAAGACACGTAGTGTGATGGGCCTGCAGGCTACTGCGGCCACTGACAACAGCGCCACCTTGATCAGAACAGTGCTGTCACAACAGCTTAGACATGTTTCGAAGCTCCCAAAATTGCAAGTCGCTTGTGACTTAGTATTCTGCAGAAGCAGCTCCAGCAAAGGTGCTCTGTAGGCGGTGCTCCTTAGAAAGACACCAGGGCAAGCAGCATGGCTTCTGTTTTCTCCTGAGTTTTTGCATGTATCGCTTACCTTCAGCGGAGAGATCGTGGGTTTTTTGCCCTTCCACCTGAGCCTCAGCTCTTAAAAGCGGTGAGCAGGCAAAGCACTGGCTCTGTGGGTTTTCACTCAAGAAAATGGACACTCCAAGAAACAAGTGATTTACAGTAATCTTCTGTTTGAATTGCGGCCCACAGAAGGCAGAAAAAGCTTGGCTGGCCGCGAACGTGGCTCACTCGGACCGACCTGATGTTGAGACATGTTGAGACAATTTCTCAATGAGATCGAGCTTCCGACTGCAACCACAAAGTCGTGTGGTGTGTGCATCAAGACTATGCCTAAGCGAAGCGAGTGATTCTGGTCAAACATTTCAAACAAATGCAATTCCATGCTTTGAGTCAAAGACCACACAGGAGAACCAACAGGCGCAGTTCCCGCATGCATATGCCCAACGCCTGATGTATTGAAGGGAGCCAGAAAGCACCGATTGTCATCAGACCAAGTAAACCCATGCTCCAAATCATGAAGCAAGGGCAAATGCAGGAAACAAGACTTGAAAGTCAATGCGTGTTGCCGATTGCAATGGACATTTGTCATTGCTTGCCTGCATCGCATGTCCTCAGGTCAGATCCTCGTCTAGAAGGGTGTTTTGTCCAGCTGATACAGCTGCAGGCACAAATACACAAGTGAAGTCACAACCAAGTCTCAACATGTCTCAAACATTTACATCGTCACTCATTGTATGTTTGAACGTGCTTCAGACGCTGTTGCAACTTGTTTGCCTGCGAGGATTCCTTGCAAACTGCAGGGTTGTGCCCCTCGAGCAGCAAAGGGTTTCTCTGCTACTGCCAAGTCGTGACTTGCAAACATCCTGTGAGTGGAACTTAATTCGGTTTGTGACACTGTGAAACAACATGCTGTATTCAATCAAGTGCGGACATCCATTCACAGCATCAATGATCATGGACCCTGCAGGGGCACCAAGCAAAGAAGAGAGAGAAGAAGAAGAAGAAGAAGAAGAAGAAGAAAAAGGCAACATTGTGCTTCTGAGCCGGCGCCGTCTGTCAAATATATTCAAGCAGTTGCTCGACAAGTAAGGGCTGACCGCTGAAATGCATACATATACATATATAGTTATTTTCAGGTAGTCTTCTGTAGTCACCGCAGTTTTGGGATGTGAAATGGTCAAGTGGGACTTGGGTCTTTTGAGTTCGATTCGGTATCAATCCGATTTTGTCAAAATTTGGATGCTCCAACAACGGAACTTAACTATGCGACTATTTTAGACAAAGAATCTGGAATAATGCCAAAACATGATAAACATATATGTCGAATAGGTAGCACATCTGGCTTCACGGACTCCACCAGCACTAGAAACAGTGTCCTGACCCGGTTACAGCCAACCGGCAAGATAAACTCATAGTCATAGAATCCAGTCGAACGCAACTTTCCGAACCCCGATCATGTGGCCAGAAAGACTCCACAGCACTCACAGGTTGCTGAGGTTCGGTGTTGTAGCTCTGGGTGAGGCTTCCAACACAACATTGCTGCAAACAAGATTCTTGATACTCGGCTTCACAACAGGCGCGAGTTACGCTTTCTCCTTACTGGTCTCATCTCATCAAAATGAGCGCGCATGCAAACCTACAAGCAGAACCCCGAAAAGGAAGCATGCACTGACAAACACTTTGTTTTGGAGCTCTCCATCTGCAGGCTGCATCCACCAGCAAGGGGCACAACCCCGATTTGGAATTTGGAAGCAACCAATCCAAACCACTGAGTTGGGGGATCTGGATTTGCAGTGCGTTTGGATCTGCACTTGGCCAGAATCACAAGCTAGAGTCCATCAATGAACAAGTGTCTGCTCAAAGTTCTAATCCAGCATGTGAAAATCACAAAATGGGGTTTGAGTTCCAATCCGTACTCCCAATGATAGGATTAAGGATTACGCTTGACGAGACGTTCTATTCTATATACAGTAATTCAAAGGACGTTATGTTTCCACAGCTTACAAGTCACCCAACAGGCAAACAACAAATTCGGTGAGATTGATCATCGATCCATGGGTCGCTGCAACCTAAGAAAAAAACGGAAATAACTCTCGGGTCTTTTGTACGGATGTCTTGGGGAATTGCAAAAAAGTAACACTTGACATGCAGCACAATGAAGTGATTCGATGATGCTGGGACAATACTTGTAACTTGTGCAAACTTAGTGCAGTTTAAACAGTTTAAAGGATGGTTGTTGCCCTGCCCTGCCTCTTTTCCTTGGGCAACTCGCAGCATGCCTTCCAGCCGTTGCCTTGGAGTGCATGAATGCAAGACTGATACACTACTCCTTTTCAACCTCGCTGCCAAACACTCATAAAGTGTACTCTACAAGCGGGTGCCTTGCAGTCTGCTCTGTCTGGAGTTTTTCCTTCAGCGGCTCCACGATCCTGGCCACCTGAACATGTTTGGAAAATAGAAAGGCTTAAGGTTCCGGTGGGCCTGGAGCCTCAGCAGCGACTGCCTGGTGCACCTGGCATAAGACCAAGCAAAACGATGCAGGCAGAATGGAGCGGAAACTGTAGCACAATTGAAACATACTGGGAGTCTTGGCAACCTTCCCCGCTGGCCTCCCGACGGAGCGAGGCAGTTGTAAGGCCTGTAAGTGAGCTCCTCCAGAAGACTGTCGCGGCGCGGTAGCGCATGATACACCATGGAACAAATTCAGCGACAAAAACGAAGTACTTCTCATTAAATCCTGGATGATGCGCACTTCTCATTCAATCCTTCAGCCTTGCTGAGGAATGATGCTCCCTTTCAGAATGCTGATAAAACTTTCGGTTGAATTGCTGCTACGTAGAAACACAGGCCAGAACACTTCGAAGCGATGGTGCCCTCTCGTCGAGGTCTACTTGTCCCTGCAAACAAAGAAAAGAACTTCCACTGTTTGGTCCATACACGAAACACTGCCCGCATAATGTACAGCATTTTCCGACTCTCTGCCACTAGGATTTAGACAGTCTTGGGTCTACCTTTGGACCTGAGATGAGCTTGGGCTACTTGACAATGCATACAATGTTAGTACAACTTGACTTCAACCAATTGCGGTAATATGTTCTTCAAGTATAAATGTATATATATATAATATACACTGTACCTACTTTTTCAGTTGCTCTCTGTGACTGCTGCCCAGGTGAAGCAATGATCTGACACACCAGGCAGCGACAAGATTAAGCAAAGCCGACAAGTCCTATCATTGACTGACAAGTTCTGTCTCCAACTGAGCCAATTTGAGTCCAGGTGTGATCGGCCTGCGGAGTCCGCATCACTCCTCCACGGCAACTGCAACCAATCTGTGTGAGGACTTGATCGAGAACAATGTTTCGTTCTTTTTGAACGATCTTGCAGGGGAACCATCCAATGTGATCCCATTACAGTCAAAGACCTCGGAGTGTGCACCCTACACCCTATACCCTACTCTTTGAGCTTGGAGTGATGCTAATCTAATCTACCATTGTTCTATCCTCTTGCTTTCTTTCTGTCCAGTATTTTTTGGCTTTAGACCTTTTCCACAACTCGTTGTTTCTTTTTAATCCTTTCCTTTTTACAAAACACCCACCACAAAGCCTCCTTTTGGCATGGACCTTGCAAAGCGCACCATCAAGCAAACTGAAGTTGGAGGTTGTTGCCAAGTTGAAGGTTGGATTGAGTGCTGGGCATGCACTTGTGCAGGTCATGCAATGGCCTGGCCAAAGCCAACACCATGTTGCACATTCACACATTGAGGCTTTGCTTTGAAGCGTAGACAAACTATGACGACAGCATAGACAAGCTACTAGACAATCTATGACAACATTCAGGTCACTGAAATCACAAGACTCACACGGTGTCTCTTGGCAGCGAATGCCTGAAAAGTGCTCCATCCCAAGGCGAAACAAGCAGCAAAGGTACTCACTACCAATCATTAGCATTTATCTGTGCTTGAGAGTAGCTAGTTGGTGGCACGACCAACCGTTCCTGACGAAATGCAAAGATGAAAACAAACAAGTCTACACGCATGGAAGCATACGGGAACCGTGCCTGCGGGTCGTTCTATGCTAATGCGCTGGTATTGTGCGTCGGCGCGAATTAAGTGTTGTCCCTCATTTTCCTCATACATCTTCTCCAATCGGCCAGATTTGAGTGCATGGGTGTTTTGGTGTATGTTCAAACTAGTATATGAACTGATGGATGGACGTTGGGTCTGTCTTATTACCTGTAACAGTGGATGATTTGGGTTAGTAAAGGCTTTGTGCAAAAATAGTGATAATTGTCTACTGACTGTTACAGGTAATAGGACAGACCCAAGATGGACGCATCGTGCTGTATCAAAGTATCGGAGCAAGTCTTAGTTCAAACGCTGGTTGCGGTCACATTGCAATTCTGAGTTAGACATTGTTTTGCCTGCACAACCTGAGCAAGCTACTCAGGCCCAAATGCTTGATGATTTGCCTGGCGCAATAAAACATCGGCCAAACCCTCCCATCACATGTGCTCAGCTCTGATATTCAAATCTTGTACCGCTTTGTTGCCGGCCTCTTCGCTAACTGCCTTTCTTTGTCGACCCTTTCTTGCCTGCTAGTGTTTGAACAAAGGATACCAATGTGCAACAAAGACAGCGGCCAATTGTATGAGCTTCACACCATAAAATGTGAGCTGGATTTGCAAAAGTGGACCTTCATCAGCCAGTGAAAATTAAAGGGAACGTGTGAAAAGTCTGGGTCATTGCCTGAGGTCCCAGCATTTGAAATGGCCCAGTTGCAAAATCACGAGAATATTCACAGACTTCGAAGCAGTTTGTCAGTTGGTGCCAACATGCATTTTTTTTGCATATGCCATCATATGCCTACACTACATGTCGCTGCACTGCTAATGTCCGCCCTTGCAATAATTTACAATACAGACCTGTTGCGCAGTCCACAAGAAGATGTTGTCAATGCGCATTTTTGATCTGTTGTAACTGAGTCATAGAAACAAACTTCCAAAAACGAGCAGCTGCCAGGCGCTCCGAACTGGACCCAAAAACTCAGGGCAACAACATTTTAATGAACATGATGATCCCACTTAGTAAAGCCAAAACCCATATTTCCTGTATGTGAGATTCAGAATTATGTAGGAAACAATCTTCCTGAGATGTGGACCAATGAGGTAGCCAAACAAGCAGGTGCACTGGCTTGGGTTCAAGTATACTATGCATTTTTCAGAAACCGTTTCGTAAACACCACAACGGCACGACGGCGTTTAAAACTATAACTGTTGCAGTTGCATTGGACAACATGGTTCGAAAACACTTGCGCAAAACTGACTGTTCACTAGAGACCAACTGACAAAGGAGATGGTGCGCGAAATCTTCACGCAACACGCGCCAATTTCCGCGGCACTGCACTTCCGATTTGCAACGCCAAGAAAATGAAGGAACGCCAATGGCCATCGAAAGCAGGCTTGCACGGGCATCCAGCATGCAAACAAATACGCATTGGTACATTGATGATACTCAAAAATATGTATATATTATAGAAAAACACTTACAATTGTGTATATATATATATACCGCCGGACTGGAAGTTAGAATGGGTTCATAGGGGTCTGATTTTTAACCCCCATTGAGAATGGGGGCGTAAAAAAGGAGAAAAAAAAATACAGTTGGAATGGCCACCTCTAACTTCCAGTCTGGCATCTAGGAAAAACAAGTTTTAATATTATGGACCCTCTAATTTCCAGTCCGGAATTCTAACTGTGCCGCGGAGAGTAACACAGTTTCTTTTCCGTCCTTTCCTCACACATGTGAAATTGGGACATCTGACAAGACTTCTCACTTTTACTTTTTGCTTGAAGTTTCATTGCACAAGAGTTCCTTTTTCCCTTCAAGACCCCTTGTGCTTTACGAGCCATCCCGACTATACCTACAGTACGGACTGCAAGATAGAATGACTATTTTTCAAGATTGTTCCGTAGCAAGTTAGAATGCTTATGTCCCAGGTTTGTTTTAGTCAAGAGCTATTAACCGAAGGAATGCCATGTCCAGAGTGTGATTTTTGACGAATTTTGAAACTGCGGGTAAATCCGCCGACCCCACTCGTGGGGTGAGGCGTGACTGTTGATGTTAGCCTTAGCCTTAAGCCTTAGCCTTAGCCTTAGACTTAGCTTTAGACCTTAGCCTTTAGCCTTACCTCCCCTACCCCTCCGGACCCTTGTTGCAAAATGGTGACGTGGATTGGCCAAAATTCTGCTTGTTTACTTCATCCCTTGCCACATTGTCGGAGTCCTGCGCCTTGC